CAGCTCTTCAGCTCAAGGCTAGCACTCTACCACTTGAGCCACAGCACCACTTCCAGCTTTTTTCTTTTTGCTTATGTGGTGCTGAGGAATCGAACTCAGGGCCTCATGCATGAAAGGCAAGCACCCTACCACTAAGCCACCTTCCCAGCCCCTGTCTTTTCTCTTATATCCTTTTTTTTTCTATGCTGGTTTTCATTAATTTTTTTAAGTAGTTGTACAAAGGGGTTTCACTTCATGTCAATTTATGAGTGCTCTGCTGCTGTGTATACATGAAGTACCCTTTTATTTGTTACCTACTCCCCTTCAAGGTTCAACATAGATCATCTTCCCAATTACTAGTCTCTTTTGTACTCTGGTAGCAAGCTGTACTTTATAAATGTTGCTTGCAACTCCTGTTACTTATGTAATAAGTCGTATGACTATTATTTGGATTGTAATCTCCTTGAAGCTAGTAAAGCTTGGCTTCTGTTTATCTCTAGATATGGCTTCTTAGTAAATCCTCCATTGCATTGAGTTGAAAAATTGTTGCCTTTGTTTAAGGCAGCACAATGTGAGCTGTAAAGTACAAAATCTTTTTTTTTTTTTTTGGAGGGTCCGGTTGTGGGGCCTGAACTCTGGGCCTGGGCGCTGTCCCTCAGCTCTTCAGCTCAAGGCTAGCATTCTACCACTTAAGCCAGAGGGTCCGGTCGTGGGGCCTGAACTCTGGGCCTGGGCGCTGTCCCTCAGCTCTTCAGCTCAAGGCTAGCATTCTACCACTTAAGCCACAGTGTCACTTCGGCTTTTTTCTTTTTTTGCTTATGTGGTGCTAAGGAATTGAACCCAGGGCCTCAGGCATGCAAGGCAAGTGCTCTACCACTGAGCCACCTTCCCAGCCCCTAAAGTACAAAATCTTAATTGATAAAGAACTACAATGTTGACCACTAGAGATGGTTAATGATCAGTGGGCACAGCCAAGTGTGGAAGAAAGTAGAAAGGTTAGTGGGATTTGTCCTAATGCACAGGAATGTCTTTGAGGTCCTTTTGTTTGTCTTTGGTGGTACTTGGCGTGTACCCTACCAGTTGACCCACAAACTCTAGCCTTTTAGAAAAATTTTTGGGACATTGTCTCACTATTTACTCAAGCTGGACTGGAACTCTCCATCTTCTCGTCTTAGCCTCCTGAGTTTTGGGATTACAGGAGTGTGCTACCATATCTAGCAGCCTGTGGCTTGGGGAGAATCTGCTTTTTAGCGGGGGGAAGAAAGGAAGCTTGTATCTTCTCTATCCTACTTGTGTTTTTGTCCCCCCAGTTCAATGTGGTTAAGAAATGGCTTGAGGTAGAGATTGCACCGGACATCCGAGGGCGAATTCCCTTGCTGCTCACTTCACTTAGCTTCAAGGTCAGTGTGCATGAGATCCCTGGAGGGGAGACCTCAGCTCCCAAAGCTGGACTCTGATGTGTGTTCCTTCTGCACTTACGTAGTGATTGGTTTGGGAGGCAATTACGTGAAGACTTAAATACTAGGGTTTTAAGTAAATGATAAACCTTTCTGGAAGTATCAGAAGAATCTTTTTTTTTTTTTTTAACTTTCCAGGTCCTAAAACACCCAGATAAGAATTTCCGGATTGGTCAAGCCTTGAAGGCTATGGTGGTCAGTTCAAATTCCTCTAAGACCTTCTTGTGTCTCTCACTCATAGGTATGGAGATGAAATGGTGCCTGGTCGGGGAAAGGAGGGTAGGAAAAATATGAGGACAGGGTCTTTGTTCAGTTTGAGGGATGCCTTTAGTGTTGGAAGTCTGAGGAAGTTGGGTATAGGACCTTCTGGGATCTCTTTTGTCTCAAGGCTTTGCTCTTTACCCTGTGTTACTCTGCCATTCTCTGGGTTACTGTTATCTATCACTGGTTTTCCCAAGCCCCTTAGAGAGTTATCTTGCACATGGTCTTGCAGTTCTTGGTTATAGGGTGTAGTAAGCTGGTTCTTCATAGTCTAGTGGTTCTTCTAGTCTACTCAGCCTGAATATCCAAGTCTAGGTGGCCTCCCATTCTGCAAGCTATTGATGGGTCAGTGTTTTCAGCTTGTTATTTCCTTTTCCCTGAATCAGTCATTCTCCTACCAGGTCCTCACAAGCTTAAGAGAGGGGAAGTAGCCATGGGCCAAGTGGTGACGGTGATACCCAACGAGGGACTAACTGTCTCCTTCCCCTCTGGGAAAATGGGGAGAGTCAGTATATTTCATGTGAGTGACTCCTACTCTGAGGCTCCCTTGGAGGAGTTCATCCCCCAGAAGGTTGTTAGGTAAGTCAGTTCTTCCTCTTGAACCTAACTGTGGAATTAATGGATTTCCCTCCTTCCCCTTCCCCTCCCATCCTCTATAACTTTTTAAGCTGGAAAAAAAAAAAAGAAAAATATATAAAATAGAAAACACAAATTTCTATCATTCCTCTTATTTTCTACTGCTTTTACCATTTATACTTGGGTTTCTAATGTTTACAGACTTTATCACATATGTGGATATAATTTTACTTAATGTAGTAATAGAATATTTTTGCCAAGTGCCCATAGCTCAAACCTGTAATTATAGCGACACAGCAAGTTGAGATGTGAGGATCGCATTTTGAAGCCAGCCAGCCGGGGCAAGAAAGTCCGTGAGACTCTTCTCTCCAATTAATCACAAAAAAAAGGTGGAAGTAAGAGCTGTGGCTCTTGTGGTAGAGTACTAGCCTAGAGCAAAAGAAGCTCAGGGACAGTACTCAGGCTCTGAATTCAAGCTCTAGGACAGACACACAAAAGAATAATACTGCCGGGCGCTGGTAGGGCACCAGTAGCTCATGCCTGTAACCCTAGCTACTCAGGAGGCTGAGAGCTGAGGATCACAGTTCAAAGCCAGCCTAGGCAGAAAAGTCCATGAGACTCTTACCTCCAATAAACCACTCAGAAAACTGGCGCTGTGGCTCAAGTGGTAGAGCGCTAGCCTTGAGCTGAAAAGCTGAGGGACAGCACCCAGGCCCAGAGTGTTCAAGCCCCACAACTGGACCCCCCCCCAAAAAAAAAAAAAGTCTTAGAAATAAATTCCTAGAAGCAAAGTTTAGGAGTCAAATGATGGTATAAATTTTTCCTAATTTTGTTCTCTGAAAGAACTCTACCTATTTATATTCCACTAAAAACATACAGTGTGTGGTTATTTCTCACATCCATACCAACACCAGATATTCTTAATTTTTATCTTAGTTATTTGATCTCTAATTTGTACTTTGCATACTGGTTATTTTTCATGCCTGTTTGCTCTTTTGTTGTGTGTATTCCAATACTGGGGCTTGAACTCAGGGCCTGGGTACTGTCCCTTACCTTTTTTGCTCCAGGCTGGCTCTCTGCCACTTGAGCCACACCTTTACTTTTGGCTTTTTGCTAGTTAAGTGGAGATGAGAATCTCACAGACTTTTCCTGCCTGGGCTGTCTTAGAAGCATGATCATTAGATCTCACCCTCCTAAGTTGCTAGGATTACAAGTACAAGCCACCAATGTCCAACATTTTTTTATTCTTTATATTTGTTCTGTGCTTTGCATTATTATTAATTTTGTGTGTGTCGTGATCCTTGGGCTTGAATTCAGGGCCTGGGTGCTATCCCTGAGCTTTTTTGCTCAAGGCTAGCACTGTACTACTTGAGCCACAGCTCCTTTTCTGGCCTTTTTGGTGTTTCATTGGAGATCAGAGACTCATATACTTTCTTGCTTGGGCTGGCTTCAAACGATGACCCTTAGATCTCAGCTTCCTGTGTAGCTAGGCTTACAAGCATGAGCCACTGGTCCCTGGCTTTTGCATTAAAATTAACTATAGGTATTTTCTGTAAACTTTTGGAATTTGGAAGAGCTTTGTTTATAAGATATTTCAAATGCCTAAAGGTGCACCTGCTTCAGTTAGTTCTAAGCCCAAATTTCAGCTGATAGAATGAAGTTTACTAGAAGAATAAGTACTTCAGAAGGCAGATACTGAAAATAGTCATTGCCCTCTCTCATTTCCAGTGTCCTAGGCACTGGCAACTGTCTAAATTGTTGGTTACTTCTCAAAGCTAAGCATCAGAAAAATACTGAGAGCCTGGGGAAAGAAAAAGAATGCATCCTAGAGACATCCAGAATTATCTCTGCTTTGTTTCCTAAGGCTTACAAAATGAGAGTGTGGGTTTTTTTGTTGTTGTTTTTTTAAGCAATGTTGTTATTTTAAAGACTATGACAGCCAGCCCTATGAGTAACGTTAAATTAAAATTCCCCTTGTCTATCAGGTATGGGGCCCTCAAGGCAGATGGTCTCTTTATGCCCTTTCCAGCTCTGAAGGCTCTGGTACCTGTTAGAAAAGGCAGAAATTTGGGGTTGGGAAGTTGGCTCAGTGGTAGAGTGCTTTCCTCGCATGCATGAGGCCCTGGGTTCAATTCCTCAGCACCACATAAGCAGATAAAAGCTGGAAGTGGTGCTGTAGCTCAAGTGGTAGGGCACTAGCCCTGAGCTGAAGAGCTAGGAACAGAACCCAGATCCAGAGTTTAGCCCCCATGACAGACCAAAAAAGAAAGAAAGAAAAGGCAGAAATCTGTCATGGGAAAAAGCTGGACTGTATTGTTGCTAAGATCTTTCTACCTCTAAGATTCTATACTTTAATGATTTAAATTGCAGTTTTAGATGAAATTCTTTGAAAATCTGACAAAAGAATTAACCTTTTTTCAAAGCCTCTCCAGCTCAGGCCTTGTTAATCTATCTGAACTGCTGTTTTATGTCTTTAATAGGTCATCCTTGGTTGTGGTTTTCTGTGGTTATTCTGTTTCTCTGTGGAGGTCAGACATTCTCAAGACATAAAGTACTCATCTTATCTCTGAAATATACATGCTTCTCATGTATATGTTTTGTTCCCATAAACCCATTGTATGTTGAAAATACCTTCAGTTTAACATGCATTTGAATATACCTAAACTCTTGAACAGCCAAAGCTATAGAGCATTCTTTGTTTCCCCTTGTGATTATGAGCACCTCTACAACTTGCTGCTGCTACTGAGTAGAGAGAAGGAGTATCCTCCTGCATTTCACTTGCCCAGGAAAAAGTCAAAATTCAAAATATGGTTTCTGTTGAATGTGCATCCCCTTCATATCATTGCAAAGTCAAAACATCACAAACCATTGTAAGTCAGGGACCATGTACACACCATCTTTGGCTCTGTGAGTCAACTAGAAGCCTTTCATGTCTCCTCTTAGTTTCTTCTCTCTTGTTGGGCAAGAGGAGTAGGTAATACTATTGACCCATTGAGAGTCCCTCAGCAGGCTTTCATCAGAATGAAGAAACTGAAGCCAAGCCTCATGTCTACTTGTTCCTTTTTTTTTTTTTTAATTAAGTAGTTGTACAAAGAGTTTATAATTCCATACGTCAGGTTACAAAAACAGTACATCTTGATCAGTGTCACCCCTTTCATCATTCTCCCCTATTTTCCCCTCTCATCCCTACTCTTGAGTTTTACAGTTCAGTTCTTACATAGAGTGCATTGTGCCCCTCTTTGCCCTCTCTTCCTGGTATTCATTTTGTTAAACAGTTTATTATTCAGAGGAGTTACACCATTGGGACTTCTCCCTTAAGTATACCACCCTTTAGTCAATTTGTTTGTATTTATAAAATCCTGTGTATATTATCATTTATGTTTGTATTTTAGATCTAATTTCCACATAAGAGGAACATGCACCATTTGTCTCTCTGAGCCTGACTTACTTCAATTAACATAATCTTTTCTGGGTCTATCCATTTCTCTTCTTGTTCTTGACTGTTAGGTAGCCTTGTAGAGAGGGAGTGCTGCTGTCCCCAGACATACTGACAATGGTTTTTTCCTTTCTTGTTCACATTTCAGATGTTATGTCTTGTCCACTGAAGACAAAGAATTGACCTTGTCACTACGATCATCCAGGTGGGTGTTGGCGGTATTGGAACGAGAAGGGAAGAAGACACTGAGAAGACCAAGGGGAGGCTAATTGTTATCACAGAACTTCAGGCTTTCCACCTTTCTTCTTTGCTCATTTGTTTTATGCCCTAAGCACCTATCCAAAAAAGCTGGGTCATTCAGATTTTTAGAAGGAACTGTCTTCCTAGACTCTCATCTCCTGAGGAGAAATTCATATTTCTAATTGTGGATGTTCAAGGCTACAAGATAGTGGTGCTGGCGAGGAGAGATGGTTTTAACCATGATAGGGAGTGGGTGTGGCGTAAAAAGGATTGGCCTGTGTTCCACTTCATCTCGGCTAGGTGTTCTCTAAGGCCCAGCTTTAGGTTTGACCTCTGTGTCTTGGTTGGCTTTTTTCTGTTTCTGCTTAGCTGGCTCCTAGACAACCAGCCTAGACCTTGCAGGGGAGGCCAACCAGGTTGAGAGGAGAGAAAAGGCGGGGCTTCAAAGGCTTTATCTTACTAACAAGTGCAGAGTTGTATTTTATTATTGTTATTCAGAAGTGGCACTGTGGCTTAAGTGGTAGAACGCTCACCTTAGGCTGAAGAGCTCAGAGACAGTGCCCAGGTCCAGAGTTCAAGTCCCACAACTGACCAAAAAAAAAAGTTAAACAACAGCAACAAAAAATTATTATTGTTGTTGTTAAGGAGTTGTCCAAAGAAACTGCAGGTTCCCTCAGTCAGGTTATGAGTAAAGTGCTTCTTGCTCAGTGTCACCCCTTCCTTTATTTTCTCCTATCTTCCCCTTCCTATTCCTACCCACAAGTTAAACAGTTCACTTTTTACTCCGTATATATTGAATATAATGACTGTATTTGCTCACCCTTTCTCCATTTCTTTTCCTTGGAGCCCCTCTTTCCCCACCCCCCAAAAAAAAGAGTTTCCATTTCCTGGTATTTGTTTTGATAAACAGTACTTCAGTTGTTCAGAGAAATCATGCCCTTGGATTCCTCCCTAAGTATACTCTGCTTTAGTCAGTTTGTGTGCAAACGCATTGAGCCCCGTATGTGTTACCATGTCTAGTTGTATTTTAGACCTGGCTTCCTTCCACATGAGAGAAAACATGTTTATCTCTCCAAGCCTAGCTTACTTCACTTAACATGTATTGTTCTAGGTCCATCTATTTCCCTGCAGATGACAGATTCTTTCTAATGGATGAGTAAAACTCCATTGTGTATATACCATAGTTTTTGATCCACTCCTCTGTTGTAGGGCATCTGGGCTGTTTCCATAACTTGGCTATTGTGAATAGTGCAGCAATGAACATGGATGTGCAAGGGTCTTTACTATAACCTGACTTGATTATAAGTCTGGGGGTAGATGCCCAAGAAAAGTATCGTTAGATCACAGGTTCTGTGTTGAGGGTTTGTTGTTGTTGTTTTGTGTTGTTTTGTTTTGTTTTTTGGGTCCGGTCATGGGGCCTGAACTCTGGGCTTAGGCACTGTCCCTCAGCTTTTCAGCTCAAAGCTAGGGCTTTACCACTTGAGCCACAGTGCCACTTCTGGCTTTTTTTTTTTTTTATGCTTATGTGGTGCTGAGGAATCAAACCCAGGGCCTCATGCATACAAGGCAAGCACTCTACCACTGAGCCACCTTCCCAGCCCTTTGTTTTGTTTTTTGAGGAATCTCCAAACCACCTTCCAGCATGTTTATACTAGTTTACATTTCCACCAATGATGTAATACTGTTCCTTTTTCCCCACATCTTTGCCAGCATTTGTTTTTTGCTTACATTTTTAGAGCTGTATTCTTACATATAAAATATAATAAACAATTATTGCAGGTGTGTTGGGGATAGTGAGGGAATAAAGTGAAAGGTGTACACGTATAAGCCTTCTACTCTTTTAGGACAAACCCAGAGACGAAAAACAAAATAGAAGATCCAGAGATTAACTCCATCCAGGATATTAAGGAAGGGCAACTCCTGAGGGGTTATGTGAAATCCATCCAACCGAATGGTGTGCTCTTAGGGTGAGTAGTGTGAGGCCTGTCTTTAGTTCATATTCCTAGCCACCTAGTACTGCACTCTTCCTTGCCATTGGGTTTCCTCTTTTTCTCTGTATCTGTCTAGCAGCTTGTGATTTACACTGCTATGCTATGATGTAGCATAAAAAGTATCCTTGGCTCAGGATGTAGGACACTTCCCCAGCATGCCTGAGGCCCTAGATTCTACTGCTAGTACATCAAACAAACAAAATCCTTTTTCATGTCTTTATCATGCTTGATAATTCTTCCACTTTACAAATTCCACTTTATCCTGCTGAGTGCTAGGAGTTTAAACCTGCTACCAGTCCCATCACAGCTTGGATGCTAAGAAAGTGGAGTCACTAGATGTGGCTGGGATTCTGTTGTATCTGTGACCCAAGGACTCTTTGCTGTCTCCTTGCAGCCTTGGCCCCTCCGTTGAGGGCCTGGCCCAGTACTCACACGTCTCTCGATGCAGCCAGCCCAGGAAAGACCTTTACAGCAAATACCTCCCTGAAGGGAAGCTGCTTACCGCCAGGATCCTAAGGTAGGTGCCTTCCCTCCCTGTTCTCTCTGTCCCTCTACCTCTACTCCAACTGACAACCCTTCTCTTGGAGTCCTGGGTAGAGATTTCAAGGCAAAACTTGAACATATAATGGCTTGGATAGTGGCACATATAGTATTCAGATGAGTGAACAGTTGTTGCTTGGAGCCTTGACCTTAGCCCCTGTACAGATATGGCCCCTGTTTTGGGGGATGCAGTAGAGCGTTAAGCTGCCCCCTAAACTTTTCAACCAAGCAGGTCAAGTGCACAATTCCTTGTTGAGAATACTGAGTAGGTGCCAAGGCAGGTGGGGCAGGCTTGTGAAGAGTTTCCTGTGGAACTGTGGGTAGAGTTTTTGTTTTTTTGTTTTTTCTTTTGCTGTCTTCACTTTCTACCCTGCCTCTTTCCCTACCAATAGCCTAAACCACCAGAAGAACCTGGTAGAGCTGTCGTTCCTCCCCAGTGATACTGGGAAGCCAGATGTATTTTCTGCCTCTCCGGAACCACCACTTGTGAATCAAAAGAAGGATCAAAAGGAAGAAGAAGAGAAGAAGAAAAAGAAAGTGAAGAAGAGCCAGAAGGGGAAGGAGGAGGTGAAGCTGCTCAGCGAGGAGAAGAAAGAGCTCCAGAGGCCACAGAAGAGTCAGGGCAAACGGGAGCGCCAGCAGTCTGAGAGTGAGCAGGTAAAAATCCCTCAGGGATGATCAAGACTCATCTCAGCTGACTGAGAAAAGCTGCCAGCTTCTTTTAGAGTGAAGGTAGTGGGGAAGGGAAGATGGTGGTGGGCGTGGGGCGAAATGATGGGTGGGGACCAAGAAGACAGTGTGGAGCAGGGTCCAAGAGGAAGCTCATGGGCATTTTCTTGTTGCCATCTCAGGAAGGAGTGAACAAAAGGCTAAAGAAGGCTGGTACATTGGAGGAGGACAAGAGTAGTGTGGAAGTGTATTATCGGGAAGAAGAAGAGGAGATCGAGGTGCCAAAGTTGCTGCCCAAGGTAAGGGTCACACTGAATGGAGGGAAAGTGGCTGCGGTGGGGGAGGTCCTCACCCTCCTCCCGCAGAGCTGGGCTGTCTCCGGCCCTAGCCTCCCGTACCTCGTTTCCCATGTAATATGGAGCCAGGGATTGGGGTTAGTTCCCTCAGCCGGTTATCAGCTCCTTGGTGGGAACTGTTAATCTGCAGAGTGGCTATACCAAATAAACCCTAACACATGTTCATGGAAAGGAATTGGATGAAATTAGGATGTGGGTAAATGAAGAAAAGTGCCTCTGCCTGCGTTCTTCCTGACAAGTAGAAGCAATACTACTTGACTGGAGAGGACGAGCGGTGGGGGCAGTCAGGGCAGGTTGGCAGGACTCCTCAGCTTTGGGTCCAAGCGTACCCCTTCTGCCCTCACAATTTCACTGCTGTTATGTATGTATGCATGAGCCTGGTTGTGTTTTATAAATTGATTGCCTAAGCTGGGTTCCAGTGGCTCATGCCTGTAATCCTAGCTACTCAGGAGGCTGAGATCTGAGGATCGCAGTTCAAAGCCAGCCCGGGCAGGAGAGACCATGAGACTCCTATCTCCAATAAAACCACCAGAAAACTGGAAGTGGCACTGTAGCTCAAGTGGTAGAGCGCTCGCCTTGAGCTGAAGAGCTGAGGGACAGCGCCCAGGCCCAGAGTTCAAGCCCCATGACCATCAAAAAAAATTTTTTTTGTTGCCTAAATATTTGGTTTACAAAGGTAGCTTCTCTGTCGCTGCTATATAAAGTTTTCCTCAGCAAGCTGGGGCCCAGCTAGTGTGGGTCTCCGGTGTGGTGAGCTGGCGAGCAGGAGCAGTGTGAACTGAACGTTTCCTTCAGCAACTCTGTGCCCTTGCAGGGGAGGCAGACCAACTCCACAGAAGTGCCCCGGCTCCAGCTCTCTTCTGGCTTCGTTTGGGATGTGGGGCTCGATTCTCTGACCCCAGCTTTGCCACCTCGAGAAGAGAGCTCAGACAGCGAGGAGGAGGAGAAGCCACACCAAGCCACGGTTTTGTATTTTTCCACAGCTTTGTCCTCTGTTGGTAGTAGACTCCTGCACCCTGTACTGGCCTGGGTGGGATGGAGGTTGTGGACTACCCTGTCAACTTGTGGCTTCTAGCATGGACTTGGGTACAAGGAGCAGATAACTGACTTACTGTTCTGTCTTCCAAAGCAGAAAAAGAAAAGCAAAAAGGAAAGGGAGTTGGAGAAGCAGAAGGCTGAGAAAGATCTGTGCCGCATTGAGGAAGCACTCATGGATCCTGGACGCCAGCCAGAGTCAGCTGATGACTTTGACCGGCTGGTGCTGAGCTCCCCAAACAGCTCCATCCTGTGGCTGCAGTATATGGCTTTCCACCTGCAGGCCACCGAGATCGAGAAGGCCCGGGCCGTGGCTGAGAGGGCCCTGAAGACCATCTCCTTCAGGTCCAGGCTTTGACTTCCCCATCCTGGGGAGGGGCCTTTAGATCATACTGTATCTCCCCAAGCTCTGGCTAGCAGAGTGGGCCAGCATGGGTCATTTCCTCCTCGGCAGGCCAACAGCAGTCTGGATGGCTGCACTAGCAGTCCCTGGGCTCCTTGGCTTTCTCTCCTAGGTGTGACCATCTGTGTGAAACAGTTACGCATTAATATGTTATTGTCCTCTTCTCTGAAGTAGCTGTTATGGTATTTCCTAGAGTCTTTGTACTTCAACAGGATTCCCAGTTTAGACAAGTAGAATAGGGACAACAGCTCTTCACTCAGGACAGAACCCTACAGGTGGTCAGGTTAGTTTTCTGAAGCCCAGGGAAAGGGGGTGGGGGTGGAGGAGAGACAGTCCTCTTTCATTGCATTCATTTGAGGAAAGAACCAGACTCAGATCCGGGAGACTTCCTTCCAGTAATGTAGAGAGAGACCCAGAGAGCAGCCAGGCACTGGTGGCTCACACCTGTAGCTCATGCCTGTAATCCTGGAGACCTAGGGGATCATGATTTGAACCAGCTGGGAGCAGAGGTGGGGGGGAATGAGGAAGAGTAGTTCTTGAACATTGCAGATGGAAGTGGGGCTTACTGAGTCAGTGGAGCTCATGCGCTGCCTACTGTTTCTCCAGAGAGGAACAGGAGAAGCTGAATGTGTGGGTGGCACTGCTGAACCTGGAAAACATGTATGGCTCTGAGGAGTCCCTGACCAAAGTCTTCGAGCGGGCTGTGCAATACAATGAGCCTCTCAAGGTCTTTCTCCATCTGGCTGACATCTACACAAAGTCTGAGAAGTTCAAGGTAGGAAGCTTGGCCAGTGGCTGGCTGCCCAGACCCTCAGCTTCTTAAAAGGATATCCCGGGAATCTCAGGTCCAGTCAGTCTCAGGGAGAACCCCCACATTCTGGGTGCTGTTCCAACCCAGGCTCACTCCCTGCCTTCCTCATCCAATGAGAAATCACTTCTCTCTTTTGGGCAAGTGAGGTAGAGGTGAGGGAAGCGATGGCTTCAGAAGTAGAGGGACATTAATCCCTTATGTGTATGTCTTGGGCCACATTATAGATAGAAGTAGCATAAGGCCTTCCATGTCCTTTTCCTCTTTCTAGTTTCTCCTTGTCATTCATTCTCATGTTTTCTAGTCCAGGATCTCCATATGAGGCAGGAGTAGTAGGGAAGCTCCCATTGTTTGGTGACAGATTTGCAGTTAGGGAGTGCAGCACTTGAAGTGTAGCAGACATTATTGTAGTCAGGAGCATGCCATCAGCAGAAAGATAGCACTGTCTCCTCCACCACCCCTAGATAAGAAGACACGAGGGTTGGGAATGTAGCTTAGCGGTAGAGTGCTTGCCTAGCATGCATGAAGCCTGGGTTTGATTCCTTAGTATCACATAAACAGAAAATTCTGGGAGTGGTGCTGTGGCTCAAGTGGTCAAGTGCTAGCCTTGAGCAAAAGAAGCTCAGGGACAGTGCCCAGGCCCTGAGTCCAAGCCCCAGGACTGTCAAAAAAAAAAAAAAAAAGTAACAGTCCCAGTTCCCAGATATCAGTGGCTTTCCTACTCTTATGTACCCTTCCACCCTTCTCATTCTTTCCTTTCCCCTCCTCCCCTCCTCTTTGCTCTAGAATTAGGCCTGGGTGGGGACTTGGTTTTACCAAACATAATCTGGTTTCTCAAGCATTTCAGCTTGTCTATGCAACTCAAGGAGAAGGGGAGGGATCACATTTCTGATGCCTGACCGATTTTCTCAGTTTGTCTTTTGTTCTACCACTATCTCCTTGTCTTTCCCGTAGGAAGCTGGTGATCTGTATAACCGGATGCTGAAGCGTTTCCGGCAGGACAAAGTTGTGTGGATTAAGTACGGTGCCTTTGTTCTGCGGAGACACCAGGCCGGGGCCAGTCACCGTGTGCTTCAGCGAGCCCTAGAATGCTTACCCACCAAGGAGCGTGAGTCTCCTTCCCAGTTCCTGAACAGACAAGCCCTCTGATAGCCAGGCATAGGGATTGGTGCCTTCTCATTTAAAAGCAAGTTTGCACGTATTCTTTTGCATCTGGGACTCCCCTGCTTCTTAGAGATCTAGAGAGTAGGGTGTGAGGCATAACATAGTTCTTGGCCCAAGAGCAGGAAGTAAGACTCACTCTGTCATGTTAGCACTGTGGTGAGGGGACTGTCAGCTTACCAAGTGTCTGAGCTGTCGTCTCCCTGCAGATGTGGATGTGATTGCCAAGTTTGCCCAGCTGGAGTTCCAGCTGGGAGATGCAGAGCGGGCTAAAGCCATTTTTGAAAACATGCTGAGCACCTACCCAAAGCGCACAGACGTCTGGTCAGTCTACATTGACATGGTCATCAAGCATGGCAGCCAGAAGGAAGTCCGGTAAGAGGGGAACATAGACTAAGTGGAATCCCAGTGGGCGTGGGGTGGGAGAGAACCTGAAAAAACAGCTCTGGGATGATCCTCCAGGTCTATGTTCATTCCAGTCCCTAAAGGCCAACCTTTGGCCTGTGTCTGAACCCACTGGCAGGAAACCACCTGGACCCTGGCCTGGGAATTGGGAGACTTCAGATTCCTTCACTATTCATTCACACTGTGCCTGCTTCTCATTAGACAGAACCTTCCCAGGCAGGGTCTCACTTTTGTTCCCAGAATCCCCACAGGGCAGGGCTGGAAGTAGATGGACCCAGGCCCTAGAAGTTCAAGTACCTCACCCTTTGTTTCTGTCACAGATCATTGTGTGTCCCCATTCTTGTATCACGGTCCTTGATAGCTATGCGACTTTAGGCAAGTTAGTCCTTTGGTATCCGAGTATCTGCTCATTGAGAAAATGAGGGACAGGTGTATCACAGAAGGTCATATTGATGATGAAGATGGAAGTGGGGCTGTGGATGAGAGTGGGCCTGAGAGCAAGTGGCTGAGCACAGTCCAGGTCATAGCTGGCATGTCACGCCATTTGCTGTTCTTCCTACAGGGACATTTTTCAGCGAGTCATTCATCTGAGCCTGGCCCCCAAGAGAATGAAGTTCTTTTTCAAGCGCTACCTGGACTATGAGAAGCAGTATGGCACTGAGAAGGATGTGCAGGCAGTCAAGGCGAAGGCCTTGGAATATGTGGAGGCCAAGAGCTCAGTGCTGGAGGACTAGTGGCCACTGGCATGAAGTATCAGCAGTGTCCAGCCAGACACCTAGGCACTCAACTGTTGCCTGAAGACTTAAGTGCTGCTTTTTCTGCAGCAACAACAGGATAATCCTGTCCGAATGAAAAAGGATTTGAAGTGGTTTATATTTTTCTTATTTAAAAAAATCTCAAGGGCTGGGAAGGTGGCTCAGTGGTAGAGCGCTTTCCTCGTATGCATGAGGCCCCAGATTCGAATCCTCAGCACCACATAAGCAGAAAAGGCCAGAAATGGTGCTGTGGCTCACGTGGTAGAGTGCTAGCCTTGAGCTGAAGAGCTGAGGGACAGCGCCCAGGCCCAGAATTCAGGCCCCACAACCGACCAAAAAAAAAAAAATCTCAGTGGTAGAATGCCTGTCTAGCAAGTACAGGCCTCTCAGTTCAAACATCACTACCACAAAAAATAAATAATGTTACCGTTTTAAGATGTTGAACCCAGAGCCTTGTTCATGGAAAACCAGTGTTCTGCCACTAAATAATTCCTCTTTGCTTGTTTATTTATGTAACAGTGGATATCTTTTCCCTTTCTAGAACTGCTCCATGGTTACACGCTGTTGGGCTCCCAGAAAAACACATGTATGTCCTTCAGGAAGTTCCCTTAGGACTAAGAACAAAAGATCACCTCCTGTGAATCCCACGGTTAGGATCCCACCTTGTCCCTGGCTGGCCCTCAGTCTAGCCAGGTGGTGGGGCGCAGGGAGCAGGACAGTCTGGGAGTCTGGCATTACCGCAGTTCACTTAGTCCTCTGCCCTTTTGCAGAAGCTGTGAAGCTGAGTCAGGACAGAGGCAAAGCCCAGAAGTGAAAATTAGGAAGCCTAGGTTACTGAGGAAAGTCTGTTTCTCATGATGTCTCATCCTAGGTCATCTCTGGCCAGGTGACATCATCCTTCCAAAGCTGGTAGATCCCAAGGTTCTGGGAGGCCAGCATGGACCCTCCGAGGTGTCACAGCCAGTTCTCTTTTGTCTTAGACCTGAGGGAATTAAGTTTTCTCTGGAGGAGCCTTAAACGACCTTTCCGTGGGAAATGGCTTAGTCTTGAGGGAGCAGGACAAATGAGGGAGAACATCAAAAGGTTTAGAGGTGGTGGAAATAGCTAGGTGGGGCTAGGAAGATAAGGAGCCACACCTGTCTGGTTCTTGGAAGATCCAAGATCCTCAGACTCAGAATTTCCAACTGAGCTACTCTGAGAAAGGCCAGGCTCCCTGTGACCAGCTCACGTCAAATACAGTTACCAACAGATCTCATCCCTAGAACCTTACTTCCCCTCTTCAGGATACCTGATGTTGCCTGCCCTGCTGCCATGCTGTGGGCCAGCCTAGTTCCGCCCCTTTGTTCCCACAGGGTGTAGGATTTGCGCCTATCAGAATGACAGCCATGCTGCCCATTCAGTTGCACAGACATTAAGCCAGTCTCTTATAAAGAAAAGCTTTATCAAAAAATTTAAATATATAAAGTTAGGCCAGAGGTAAGCAGTGGAGAGCAGTTTCCCAGCCATGCACCACTGGGCTGCCTCTATGCAATTAGACACAAATTAACTGCACAGTGCATATTTCTATACAAACTGGTGACTTCCACTGTCACCTGCCTCTGTGGGCTGAGTCTTCTCTGCTTGGAGTCCCACCAAAGACCCTCTCTGTACTAGAAGTCTTTCGCCAAAGCTGTGGGCTAGTGGCCACAGGAGAGCGAGTTCTTCAAGTCTGAAGATTCCTCTCATCTGGCCATGCACTCCAAGGTCTATGGCCAAGAACATGAGGGTAAGGCAGTGAGGTTCTGTTTGGACAGAACCTTTTGCAAAGGGGGTCAAGCAGGCCCTTAGGAAGCGAGCAGGGCCATCTCCACGCTGTCAGGCGCGGTACCATTGCCTGCTAGACCTTGGGCCCACTTGTGCAGGCGACTGTAGAGTGGTAGGCCCTGGTTCTCTCGGTACAGGTAGACACCAGTGATGGCATTCCACTGCGGCCGTGGCTGTGTGCCTTCCACCGGGAATTTGGCGATCAACTCCTCGTCATCCTTATTAAGTGCCACAAAGCCAAAGAAGCGGCGCACGTTGTTGGCGGCGAGCACCTTCGAGTGCACCTCGGCTGTGCGATGGAACAGCTGGTCCTCGTTGGTGCGGTACTGTGCCCAGTAAGCCTCCTGGCGGTAGCTGAGTGGTGAACAGTAATGCTTGAGGCACTTGGTCAGGAACACCAGGATGGCCACCACACCAATCAGCAGCCACCCAAAGAGCTGGCCAGAGAAGAGGCAGGTTCAGGAGGGGAAGGGAGCTGCTAACTTAGCCCAACCACCCTGGGATGTGGCAGGAGGAACCAATCCTACTGCTGTGAGGGGAACAGACGTGGTACGTTTTTAGTGCATGCCCGGCTCTTTTTTTGTTGTCAGTTGTGGGGCTTGAACTCTGGGCCTGAACTCTATCAGCTCTTCAGCTCAAGGCGAGAGCTCTACCATTTGAACCACAGCACCACTTCCAGTTTTCTGACTGGCTTATTGGAGATAAGAGTCTCATGGAGGGGCTGGGAAGGTGCTCAGTGGTAGAGCGCTTGCCTTGCATGCCTGAGGCCCTGGCTTGGATTCCTCAGCACCACATAAGCAAAAAGAAAAAAGCCAGAAGTGGTGCTGTGGCTCAAATGGTAGAGCGCTAGCCTTGAGCTAAAGAGCTGTGGGACAGTGCCCAGGCCCCACGACCGGTCTCATGGACTTTCCTTCTCCAGGCTGGCTTTGATCCACAATCCTCAGATCTCAGCCTCCTGAGTAGCTGGGATTATAGGCATGAGCTACCAATGCCTAGCGCATGCCCTACTCCTCTGGGTTTTATTTTGTCATTTGGTGGTACTGGAATTTGAACTCAGGGCCTTGCACTTGCTGAGCAGGCACTCTACCACTTGACATTTGCCATCCCCTTTTTAAGTTGGTGATTTATGAAACAGAGTCTCACTTTATGCCAAGGATAGCCTGGATTGGGATCCTATTTATGCTTTGTGTTTCTGGGGTGACAGGGACACACCTATTCACCCATGTGCTTCCACACTTGAGACCCCCACATCCAACTGCCTCTTACACATTTTCTATAACTACTACTCAATCCCAAGGGTGCCCCCCCCCCCCGTCATACCTCGGCTTAGGCTCAGGTATAGCTTGGTGGTAGAACATGTTCCTGTGAGGAGGCCCTGGGTTTGATCCCCAGCCCTGGATACCCACGTGTGTATACACACACACAAACACAAAAACCACCAGGAGATGCCACCCCTCTGGAAGCCTCTTGCCTCTAAGTCCTTTATGCTGGTTTTTTCCTCACATCTTTATCTGCCTTATTTAAGTTGACTCATAGGTTTATCTGAAATGCTTGTATGAAGCCTGTTGAGGACAAGGGCCAAGGAGAGTAACTGCCATGTGTTCCTAAAAGATCTGTAGACGTTTACTCAGCACTTTTCAGGTTTACCATCTTCTGTCTCTGGCAGTATCTTCAGCCCTGTTGCTCTTTTTACTTTGATTTCTGGTGTTGCCAAGAGAAAAGACCTTTTAGAGAATTGTGTGTTGCTTCCTTCCTGTCTCCCCCTTCAACCTCTGTGGTTTTTTGTTTGTTTTTGCCAGTCCTGGGGCTGAACTCAGGGCCTGGGCACTGTCCCTGAGTTTCTTTTGCTCAAGGCTAGCACTCTACCATGTAAGCCACAGTGCCACTTCTGGCTTTTTCTGTGTATGTGGAACCCAGGGCTTCATGTATGATAGGCAAGCACTTTACCACTAAGCCACATTCCCAGCCTTTAACCTCTGTTTCTCTAACACATCCAGCTCTACCCATTCTCTTGTCTGTTCCGTTCCAATATGCTGCAAGGGCTGGCAGACTTAGGCAGTGACTGCTTCTTCCTGGACTCCCAGGGGCTTCCCTCAGGCTGCCTCAGTGTTGGGTCCAGGCTCTTCCTGGGACAGGAATGTGCCCATCTCTGGAGCTATCTGCCAACTCATGGCCCTCAGCAAATGCTTCTGAGGTAACCTGCAGGAGCTCAAGCCATTGAACTAAGGCAAAGGGCTAACGTGATAGTCAAGACTGAGAATGCTCCCATAATGTTTATCTTAGGGATGGGGTTAGAGCTCAGTGGTAGAATGCATGCTTAACATGCAAGAGGCCTTGGGTTCATTCCCGAAGTCAAAACAACCTCATCTGTGGGACTAGCAATTATCTTCATCAAACACTAGCCTATAGGTGAACCTGCCGTAATGCCTGATGACTGTCCAGTGGTTTATAACTGGGCACCCCGCACCTCCCCACCAACCACCATCTACTTAGTTCCTTACCTGGGATTCGTACTTGAGCCTGCGGCTGACCTCCTCCCGGAAGCCTGATAAATTGTCAGGGCCCTCTCCACAGGGGAACCTGGCCAAGATCTCAGTAGCGTGGCCTGGTGGGAAGCTCTCCTCCCCAGCTGTGAGTGAGGACGGGTCCACAAACTCGCTGAGAGCACAGACGTAGGCCTCTCCGCGTAGCAGGGAGATGACGGACCAAGTCACTGGGGCCACAGCTGCACGACCCAGGATGGAGCTTAGGAGGAGGAAGTTGGGGGCAGCTGAGCAGTTCTTGGCCCTCCGATACTGGCACTCGGCAACTAGGTTCCAAGTATGGTTGTTGAGGATGACACCGATGAGAAAGAGTGCCAGGGCAGGTACTCCGATGGCCGTCAGCCCATAAAGGTAGTTCCGGGCTGGCGAGCAGGGGCAGTGGAAGGCCACCACGGAGAACAGTTCCTGGCTGCCCACGGTGCCCAGAGCTACAAGCCCGTTGAAAATCATCACATCTTTGCTCTTGAAAAAGAGTGACAGGAAGCGGAAGTTCTCTGCAATCAGGGCTGCCATCGTGACAGGTGGGCTAGGTAAGGACTGAGTACGGGAGAGGAGGCAGGAGGGGGCAGGGCTGACGGCTCCCGGTGAGACTACAAAGGAGTGCAGGCTGGAAGACACCCCAAGGCAAGGCACGATCGTGCAGTTTCATCGCAGTTTCATCGCCCACAGCGGCCAGCCCGGTGCTTCCTGCAGAACACAGATGACTGATAAACATTTGCCTCTGATCATGGGATTGAGAGGAGGCTGCTGTGGCCCCAGCTGGTGAATAAAGAAGCCCTGGGCCCTAGAAAACTGTGTGCCAGAAGCTCTCGCTACCCACCCCACAGTCCCTCATTGAGCTATTATATCCTTGCATACAGAGAAGGTGAAAGCTTGCCCAGGGTGAACTACTGGTCAGGTCACATGGTAAGTGGCAGAGCTGAGATTTGAGCCTTCTCTCAGGATAGGTTGAGGATGGCCCTGAGTGCTGGGGATATAAGATGTTCTCCCTCTGGGAGTCCACGTGGTGGTCATGTGCTGAAGCATCTGAGACCGTTTGGTTGGTTTGTCATAGGAATGGAGCTGGAGTGGCTGTCCTGGTGAATAAAGGGGTGGAGGCTAGAATGGGAGGGGGGAAGGAATGGGGTCTCGAGCTGTGGTGAGCCTGACTCAGCAAGGCCCCAGCAGCCCTGGGAGCATAAGAGCTTTTCACTTGGGGACCTCAGGGGTTCTCAACATCACGTCTTTCTGCTTGGCTTCCATCCTCCTCTGTGAAGAACATGAATCATTCTGAGCCCTACTCTTTGGAATGTTGGAGGGAAAAAAATAAATGATGCCTGATAATTGTGAAACCCTGCATTGTCCTCACCCTATCAGACCTTCAGAATACAGAGAATTCTGGCTGCGAAGATCAGGATGGAAGTTCTAAAGAGGAGAACGTGTCCAAGGCCAGACAAATATGGAGGCACCTGGGCAGGACCTCTGCCCACCATCTAAGGGAGACAGGAAAGGGACAGATGGTTAAGTCTGAGCTAAATTTCTCTATCCAGCTGTCTCCTATCAGCCCTGCTCCACAGAGCCAGGGCCTGAGAATTGTCCTGCCTTGCTAAGACTTAAGCCCTTCAGCCCTCCAGAAGGCCACTAGCCTAGGACAGGGCGGCAGCAATGCTGGCGAACTACCAGCAAGTGGCCATGCTCTGCAGCTCCGGCTCTTGCAAAGTTGGGCTCAACTCCCCAGGCTCCACCCACACAGCTTGAGAGACAGGGTGTGGCCCGAGTCCCCTCCATCACAAGGATGAAAAACAAAATCTCCCCAGGCCAGAGGAAGCCAGTACCCGAGGGAAGGGCTGTAGAGCTAACTGAGTGGGGAGGGGAGAGGCCTGTGCCCGTTCTTTTCATGCCTGAGCTCTGCACTCCCGCTTCTGCCTGCCTGTGCCAAGGCTGCCAGATGGGCCCAGTGCTGGGCCATGTGGTCATGTGGGCGCCAGGAGGAGAAGTCTTATTCTTCCCTGCCCAGGAGCTCTGGTCTAACATCATGGGAACGAAACCTCATTCTGTTGTTGGAAATAAATGGACCAGCCAATGGTGGCCTCACCTGACACTTCTTCCCTTCCCTTCCCTTCTTGCTTTCTAGCATCTACATTAGCTTCCTGTGGGGGCCTTGTGTTCATAAACCCACTCAAAGTGGGGTAGAAGATATCTATCTGGCCAGGGTGGGTGAAGGGCAGACGATGGCCACCTCCTGAGACAATTGTGCCAGGCACAAGCAATGCCCAGTGAGCATGGGGCCTCTTCTAGCATCCGTGAGGACAGGGGACAGGCAGGTAGGAGGAGTGGGTGCAACCCGCCCGGTCCCAAGTAGAGGACCCCACCCGAAGGCCAACCCTGCCAGTTCATCTGACACCTGGGGCTCCCAAGATGCTTACCTTAGGCTGGCTGCAGGCACTTGTGGCCTTGGCCTCTTCGGAACAACACTCTCAGAAAAGGCATCGCTGGCTTGGGGAGACTCCTGGGCACAGGCAGGCCCTGCTGCCGAGGGGGCGGGTGTGGGGTGCAGGCGCAGACAATAGGCAGCAGCCCCCAAGTGCAACCAGCCACCAGCATTTACCAACAAATTTAACTCCAAGAGGTGCACTGACAAATCTCAAGCTTCTACAGACAAATTTAACTCCCGAAAAGAGAAAAGGAAACTGTGGGATGGAACATTCGTGCCAGCGAATGGAAAAACAGCCTCAGGCTGGGGGAGGAGGGAGGCGCGAGGGGAGAGGAAGTGGAAGAGCTTGTTAGCAGCTACAAGCTACCACGTCCTGTCCCAGCCCGCAGCTGGAGCGGCTTGGGGCCGGCCCTCCACCCTTCCCCCTGCCTCCACCCTACGGTGCTGAGCTCTACTGAGCAGCTTGCTCCATGCCAGTTTCAAGAGCCCTCCACCCTTTCTTGTCCCTACCCGGCAGAAGTATCCCAGAGCCCCTCTTCCTCTGAGCCTCTTGCCACTGTGAACAATCCATTCCTGTGCAGCTTTTCCGTCCACCGTACACCTAACTCCCCCTTTCCCTGCACAGCTGGCATTGAATCCAGGAGTCTAGGCCTAACCCTCAGAGCCCACTCCTGGTTGCAATTGCCAGGAGGCAGTTTAGTGCCCAGCCTGTCCCCAGAAGTGGTTGTGAACTCCACAAGTGTGGAAGTGTGCAAGCCCAGGTTGAAGTCATGAGTCAGAAGTACCAAAGAGGGGGGCTGGGAAGGTGGCTCAGTGGTAGAGCGCTTGCCTTGCATGCCTGAGGCCCTGGGTTCGATTCCTCAGCACCACATAAGCAAAAAGAAAAAAGC